ATTACCAAGCAAGTGACTTATCAAAACTTCGTCACCATTACCGCTGCTACCCCTAAATATACCTACATTTCCTACATTATCTCGAAAACTGTATTTCATTTTGTTGATCAATGTGACCATACGCCCTTATTACTACCCATAAAAGTGACTAATGCGCTTACGAATGGCGCAGCAGAGGTTGCGAACTAGTCTAGATTTCTGCTATACATCCGGGTACTCACTGGGAAAAAACAATAACAAAGGCAACAACCAGTCCCGGGGAATTGCTTTAGATCAGTGCCCCTTTAAGTAGTTTCCTCAGCAGACCTGTCCCAATTGCACTATGCACTCAGTACAAGAACAGGTTGATCAAGGGTCATAACTCTTTTTAAAAAAAATGCACAACACCAATTTTTAACTGAGTTTTGAAAAGTTTCTCTACGATTAGCATGCAAACTTTCATTCATGTAAAACTTCAGCAGTTGCTGAGAAAACATATCCCCATTTCACACAGCATGTACTAAGTTGAAAAGCACAGAGCAAGGGTTATAACTCTGTAAAAAATTAATTTAAGACACCATTTTCTTCCAACTCATTTAAAATCATGACCAGTAACACAAGAGTGTACAGAGTCATTTCTCTGACTCAAATAGTTTTTGAAATATGTTTTTTAATGCATTTGAATCGGAATTTTTGGCCAAGTCAAATCAAGGTTATTTGGCCAAGAACTTTAGGTATAGGGGCGATATGATATCGTTTAATAAACACCAACTGGCCAATCCCCTTTGACTAATATACCCAACAAAACCAGAAAGAAAAGGATACCAACGAGGACGCCTTATCTGTTTCATATTTCGATTTTTTCATAAGATTCAGTTCATAAAAAAATCTCCACTAGACTACGAAAAGAGAGATATTTATATCAGCATGCTTTTTCCACAAAGATTTCGAAAATCACCATGCTCTTGTTCAAAAGTTGTTTGTTTGTGTCTTATATTCACTAGGATGATATCCATCAACCAAGTCCGTTAGTCTAACAATCCGATCCCGATAGTCGCCTCTTACGTAAAGCATGGGTTGTTGAAGACCAGATCTGTCCCGGACGTTAACGTCAAGGCCTCGGTTTCAAACGTTCAAAAAGTGTAAAGGTGGATATGTGAAGGGCAACATTTGATGTCCGATGCAAGTCCCTGTTTTGACTTTTATCATAAATTCCTGCATTTTTTGGTTTAGGTGAACAATTGAATTGGTTTTATATGGTGTCCCGGCTGCGCATGATATGTTTACCTTTTCGCAAACACCCTGTATCATCACTATTTGTGAGTGATTCATAAACTCATGCTACAATGGACTGCAATGGACTACTTTGTGAGAGATTGTTTGTTATCATGGACATGTTTTTGTTGCTTCTGCTTATGTAAAACGCCAGACAACATTGGGCGTAAAAGTCATAATAGCGGTGATAATTATTTTATAGGATCACTGAAAATCAGTGATGACACCAGGTGTTCGCGAAAAGGTTAAGCATGTTCTGCCCTACCGGTAGCACCCGCCAGTCACACAATTTGCATAATAAGAAAATGGGTGTTGCCCCACGCCGAACACAAGTAATCCTGCCACAAGACGGTTGTCTGTAAACAAACCAGACAATAGAGTTGAAGGACCATAAAATCCAGTGGCATATCATATTATTGATTAGGACAAAGCCGGATGACAAGATAGTAATACACATCAGGTAAATTGTGGGTTCAAAAAACGAACATAAGGTTAAAACACCTGAACCCGACAATAATTCAATGTATTCCCATCAATTAGAATCATGTCTTAGCTATGTAACTGAAGTCATTTGTGACGAAATTAAATTCAAGCCTTGACTCCAGCAGATAAAATCTATGGGCACCTTTGCTGGAAAATTTGTCTTCCATTCCGTTCATCAGAGCAGAGCTTATTTTGCGCACTATATTTATCAGCATGAACAGTTGTATCTGACCTTTCGGGGTATAGGTGCGAAACGGTTTCCGCGGTCTACATCGTTATCACGTGAGCGCAACCATCAGGACAAAGAACAGGTACATGGCGTGGTTGGACGTCACTCCCTCTCTTGCATCTTGTTTTTTTTTAAATGAGCGTTCATAACATGTATAATTTCTTTGTAATAATTCTTGGAAACATTCCAGGTGGAGAAATTTTGTTATGTTAAGTATCAATATGCCTGTGTTTATCGATTTGGAGAATACATGTACCTATATATGTTGTAATAATATTACAGGAAACACAATGACATGTCACGGACATTTCGTTCATAATATACTTAATAAACCTTTGTGATCAAATCATTAATGCAGTGGCCGATCTCATTGCTTTGAGTTGATCTAAAAGGGGTATCGACGGGCTCCGAAGGGGCCCCGAAAGGGTTAAAAGCATATAATACTCTGGCTGGGACGAGCACATCTGCTTATAACTATATGATACATAGTAATCATCGATCTCCTCGCTCAGGTGAGGTAAATCGGCCTTGAACCAAATGAACAATATGTGACTATTTATTGATTAAATAAACCGGTTCGAGCTGAAACTAGTTTCCTCATAAGGAAACAACTGCGTAATAGTTATATCAGAGACCACTGTGTGTGATAGACACATTTCGGAATTACAGGAACAATACGGAAAGAAGGTAACATTTTAATATTGGTTGTATATACTAGTATTTGTATGGAATGGTAACATGACGTTCAAATGTTAAAGTCGTGGATGACACGTTTACACTGTTTGGCATTTCAGTGTGTGCATGGTTGTATTGCCCGTTGTGTCTCTTATCGTCATACTAATGTTAACTTATATATTATTCGTACCAAAACAAATTTAATTGGGCTTTTTGTGAGAACAAATATTTTTATACGTATTATTCACGATATCTTAAGAACAGTGGTGATGGCATTTCGTGTCTGTTTCTCATTTTACCAAATTGTAAAAGGAAATTCAACCCCAAAGCATTTTGTCAAAGGTTATCACAGCAAAAAAAATGCAGTTTCCGGTATCCGGATACCTGCCGGATACCTCCAGACACTTACCCAAAACGCGTCCAGGTATCCGGTGGCAGATACCTTGCCGGATAACAGATCCATGGTATCCGGCATGGACACCTCACCTGAAAGTATGCCTCCTGGAATCCGGGTATCCGGCACTGGATACCAATGATCCAGCACCGGATACCTCATTCTGAGTTTCCAAAAACATGTCACAATTTGGGGGGTGCATTTTGTTCAATTAAGTGTGAAACACCTAAATTTATATTGGAAACTAACCAAGAAAATTGAACATTGCTGAAGGTATCCGGATGCAATTTTTCGAGATGCCTTATTTCTGGTAAACAATGTTAGCCTGGGCATATCAGATAGCTGTAGTAATATTCTGTGTCATTTTAGTTGTAAATATCCCCTTAAAGTTGAGATCTATGGGCATGTAGTTTTGGAGAAGACAATTTTTTCAATTTCATCTATAATTCTCTTTAGATGTTAAGCTGTTTAATGAACAAACATGTGTTCTAATACATGTATGATGATATCCTTAAATTTCATGTTCAGACTTCCAGATTGTTCTGAGTGAAAGTATAAACTCATCGACTGTGTGCTCACTTGGGCCTTTGGTCCTAGTGAGATGATAATATGATTATTTGTAAAGGTACAAGTACTTGTTACGAGCATACCAGCTTCATTTAAGTTTGTAACACAATATGCCTCACTCTGAGGGTGACATCTACCAGATTTCATCACACTACAGAGAGCTGTTCCTCAGTTACTGTGAACATTTTTACTGAAAGACATTGAAAGCTAATTTGACCTTCAATATCAGCTGCGACTATTTCAAAAACAACTGTAAAGTGCTTCATTCAGTGTAATATTGACAAACATATGACAATGATATACAACTATATGTATAAGAGTTATTTAGATTTCTGCAGGAAAAGGCACATTAGAGAACAAGAGTCATCAGAAAGATGACATATCCCTCCGGCAGCTGTCTGTAAAGTAACCACTAGTAAATGTGCAATTCTGTATGTAATGAGTCAACAGTTTAAAGTTCTTTAAGAAGCATACATTGTTTACCCACAAAAGATCAACCATGGTCGCATCCATATGAATGCCAAGTTTCGATCAAATACATTGAATGGTTTTCGAATTCTGCTCCAGAAACGAACCCCATCCCCAATTGAGTATGTCAAACTTCATTCCATAAAAATTTAAAAAAATAAAAATTAGAAAAATCCAAAAATATCAAAAGGCACCACTTCAGTATGTGCCTGATAGATTTGCCAAGTTTCGATCAAATACACTGAAAGGTTTGGGAATCCTGCCCCGGAAAAGAAAATGATTACGGACGGACAGACAGACTGGCTGATCGCTATATCCCCCCGCATTATATGCTGGGGGGATAAAAAGTAAGTGTATGACCTTTTGCCAACTTCTATCCCTGCCCTAAGGAAGAGTTTGGCCATTAACAAATTTTTTGTCTGGCTATGACATTGACCTTTGACATAGCAGATCAATGTGTTATTCCAAAGATGTCCAAGCAATGCATGGTTTCATACAATAACTGTGGCTATCAAACTGAGGCAAAATATTGGAAAATCCCCATTTACACAGCTGGCTAATGAAACATAAACAACAAACAAATTATCAATTTCTTTTATTTATATGCCTATATCACACATTGAACAGTGTTCACATGATGGTTCCTGATGCAGTATGCAATTTCCTCCTATTCTTCAATACTCATAACAGAGCAGGATAACTGTTCGCTTGAAAGCATCAGCAGACCATGCTCACCAGTTCAGAGTTACTTGCCCTCAAACATCCTTTTCCTTCTATATTGCCATGGAAAAACAGGAACCAGGATGAGGGGAGGCCAGATGGGCTCTGTCCCTGTTGCATTGTGTTAGTAGAACTGTGAACATTATATTTGGTGTTTGGGTCCACATTTATAGACAAGTAGTCGCAAACATCATTCCTTCAAGTGATTACAACATGGCCAAAGACAATAATTTCTTCAACATCCTTGAAGGATCCCACTCCGACTTGGCAGTGGTTGGTCTTCTCACATTAGCCAGACCAGCCTTTGTGAGTGTGTCCCAGTGTCAATTAGCATATAACTTCTTGGTAGGCCCCCATTGAAATAACAGGACTCTCCTCATCGCTGTCTGCCAATCACTTCGGAAATCTGGAAGGGTCCTTCCAGACTGTCAACCTGTCATCCGGGTATCTCAAGCTGGACTTCAGTTTCTGCAGAATTATGTATAAAGATTGTAGCAATAGAAAAGAATTGTTGCAACATGTACTTACAGATAAAAGGCAGCAAATTCACTTAATTTATCATCTTTGAGTTTTGTTATATTCCAAACAATTGAGATATATATTGTTCCATGCTGATGAGTTGAAACAATCATTAACTGACATCTCTTAAAAATGTTCCTAGCAACCTATGCCTGCCATACAAGCCAAAGTAATAGATGAGGTAGCAAGTGGGCTCATTGATCGCTCGTAATCGTACCCAATAACGTGGGATGTTGTCCATAACAGTCATCATCGGTGCGTCTGGATCGAGCTCATAACATTAATCACTGGTTTGTCTAGTTGAGATTTGAGATTTGATTATTTATAATCCTTGTCATTTAGCTGAACTATTGCTGGATGTGGCGTTAAATGCGTGAATTGGGTTTAACGCCTCTTTGAACAGTATTCCAGTTATATCACGGCATGTAAGCTTGATGTGGGAAGAAAGCCCGAAGTGATGCAGGTCTTACATGTTTACCACTTTGATGAAACCCACAAGCAAGTGTATGATGCTACCCTCGATTCAAACCCACGACCATCGGTTTGTGTCAAGCCCAAGAGATGCAACTATGCACAGCAAGTTGTGGTGCCTTTGATAATTAGGCCATCCATGCCAACAGGTGATAAAGAACAAGCAAACTGAAGAATAGCAGGGGTTGAAAAATTATTAAAAATGTTACTTGACCAAGGGCAAGTATGACCAACATTCTCACTTGCCCTATTTTAAAATGTACTAGCCCAAAATCAAGCTAATAAATTCAGTAAAATGTTACTGCTGCAGAACTGAGAATAAAATTATGAAATTTGAACATCCATCAATAAACGTTCTCTTACGATTGCAAGCGTGTATGTTTGGGTACTTGGAACAAATGGTGCACTTCATGACTTTCGCTGTGTCATCATACGCAACCCAAGGAAACTGGTCTTTTCCACCCAGCGATGAATGTTCGTTTTCGTTTACATTCGTCATACTTTTTATTCTTTGCCGACATACAACTTTCGGAATTTCCCTCTGCCTTCCTTTTAAGTTCGTCCCCACCGCCAAAGAAACTTAAAATAGACCGCTGAGACATGATCGGCCATGTGCGGTACTGGCAATATAAATTGTTATTGCAGATACCCCTCTGGGTGCTAATGAGGCAAAGGGAGGCTACTCTGTCCTTTACTAGCTTACTCATTTGAAACAACAGATTTACTTACAGTGATCCCTCGCTATTGCACTCTTCAATATAGCGCTAACTCGGTTATGGTGTGCGGTAACACATGGTTCCCAAAACTTATATACACTTTTAGTAAACTCAAGTCACTGACACGATGTCATTTCCCCATCGCAAAATCATTACCACCTGTACGCAACACCGGAAATACCAATCAACAAATTCCGCAATTAAATCCTATTATTACTATCTGGTTATAAAAAAAACACGATTGTACCTTGACATATGTTTGTAGCATACTTTATTAATTTTATTTAAAATTTCATTCAATACAGTTTAGATCAATTTTGCCGAAATCGTGCGTAAAGGGGTCGATAGATCGCACAACTCGCTGTTATTTACAGCAACCACGGTCAGCGCCTCGAATGAACTTTAGTTGACAACGAAAAGAAACACATATTAAATAAATGCCATACTTTCACTCGTTAAAAGTTCCGTTTGTTGTAGTTCGACAAAATTATATTTCATCAAAGCTCGGCCTAACGAAGCATCTAAAGTCGGAAAATGTTTCAACCTCGCGTTACAATTTCCAAGAAATTCCATTTCCAAGAAACTTGTGCCATATATGGAAGTGTTAACAATGAAACAAGCCTGGTTCTCGTTGTTGACCTGCCTGACATCGAAATGTATTAATCCCATTGATTGACTGGCGTAGCTGTATGCAAATTACATTGTCAGTCTGGGACACTAACAAAATATTAGCCAATCAAATACCGTAACATGATCACATGATTACATTCGCGTGAAACTTGACCCAGTTCATTTTGTGTGCTCTACTTGTCCACGGGCATGCTAGAAAACGTATATTACACGCCCGACATCTAAACCTTACTTGGCACGGGCGTCGGGCAATGGTATTTTTCAACCCCTGAATAGCTACATGAACATGATGAGCCAAACAGAATAATTTCAAATATTTACCACTCACTGCTACTCTTCTCTTGTTCCTCATTGCTTCTCTTTTTCCATTAATACTGTGCCGATGACTGACTCATTCATTCATCCAGACATTCTGCAAACAAAAGTAGCATTCACATTACAGAAATGTCCAAACTGTACATACTGTACATTGAATTCAATTGAGAAGACCCCAGTTGAGATTCCAACTTAGAACTGCCCTTATTAAAATATTTCATCCCAAACATTCAGAGATAAAACATAACCCCATATTTAACAACTGTCAAACAATTATTTGACAACAAAGCCAGGGTCATTCAACATACACTTTACATAGGGAATCACTTGTTGCAAAAAATATCCTCCCCAAGGTCAGAGTCATTCCATGAAATATTGAATTATTAAGTTATGAAGCTTATACACAACAAGGACATAACAGTGTAATTATTAAAATATCTTAAGCGTAAAAAAAAAAGTCTTTGGTGGCCATTATTGTAAATTATAGTCTGTATTAGCATCCCACGAAAGTTTAGAGTTAATAATCGTTCCTAGATCTTTGTACTTTTCTTCATTATCTATAAAAAGCGGATCTAATTTGGATCATCTTGTTTTGACCACAAATCCATTACGCCCCTTATGCAAATCCTTGTCGGATAAATATCTAAATCAATCCGTTCCATAAGATCTCTACATAGAAATCATAATGTCACGAAGACCTGCTACGTACCTAGCATCCGCATTTGCTGCCAATCGCCCTTCCAAATACTGTTGACTTCCGCGTTGTGGATGGCTCAGAGGAACTTCGGCCGGCATTTCCGTGGTGGAGGTGAATGAGAACAATGTATCGATACACGAGGTAAGCTTATCGTAATCAAGCATCACAGTGTATATCGATACACGAGGTTTGTTTACATCCATGTTCTAAAATGGCGCCCTCGACCGCAGGAGAATATGGGTAAAATGGCTTGTTCCGGGTTAACACTAAGCTGGGCCCCCGTCTCTAATATCACAATATTGTTTGGCGCAAGTTTACGACGCGCATAGGGAGCCGGGAACCAGTTAACACGACATAAGCTGGTTCCCGGCTCTCTATGCGCGTCGTCAACTTGCGCCAAGTTATATAAGAGTCGAGGCCCAGCTTATACACTGAACACGATCGGTCATTTCGTCAAAATTGGCCAAATATTGAGATTGCAGCTGAGGTCATGCTGGCAGCTGAAGTGACACATTAAGGTAAGGAATATGTGAATATTACAATGATCACGTATTAAATAGAGGATTCATCACGAGTGTTTTTTAATATGGGAAATATCAACCGAGTCTTCGTTAATCGGTATTTGCCGAGCCTTTGGCGAGGCAAATACCGATTAACGGGACGAGGTTGATATTTCCCATATTAAAAAACACGAGTGATGAATTCTATTTATCATTTTGGCAACAATGCAGTTTACCGGGCGCAGCCCGGCCTCTACCATCCGCTCAATTACCGCGCTTTAGCGCGGCCGGTGTCTCGCTATACCGTGACCGTGGCTCACGCTCCAGTGACTCCAACACCCCTTGCCGGTCCAACACCCCTTGGGGGTCCTTAGGGAAACTTACACGTCTTTAGAGTCCAACACCCCTTGGGGGTCCTTAGGGTTAGGGTTGGGTTAGGGTTAGGGTTAGCCACCCTTGGGGGTCCTTAGGGAAACTTACACGTCTTTAGGGTCAAACACCCCTTGGGGGTCCTTAGGGAAACTTACACCCCTTGGAGGTCCTTAGGGAAACTTACACGTCTTTAGGGTCAAACACCCCTTGGAGGTCCTTAGGGAAACTTACACGTCTTTAGGGTCAAACACCCCTTGGAGGTCCTTAGGGTTAGGGTTTAAGGGTTAGGGTTAGCCACCAATTCTTACCTTTCAAGCGTTAATCCGTTAATCCGATGAGCCGGCGAAACGCGGTCGAACCCCCACAGCGCTATTTGGATCTGAAAAAGTGCGCCCGGTAAAGTGCACTACTCCCATCATTTTCACATTTTTGCTTCCAAATTAAGGAATAATTGCATTAAACATTAACATCAGCAACTTGTCGAAATCTTACGTATAGATATTGCGTAGTGATACATGTTTTCCATAGCCATGTAAACCAAAATAAACAATTTGCTGAGAAAAAAAGTACCGCTCGCTTTTCCGGTTATCTAATTTGCATATCTAATTTGCATACTTATGTCATTGGGGTATGACATACATGTTTTTATGTCATAAGCTTATGTCGTGGATAAATGCTTAAGTTAAATGATAAAAACATGTATGTCATACCCCAATGACATAAGTATGCAAATTAGATATGCAAATTAGATAACCGGAAGAGCGAGCGGTTTGATTTGAAACTATATATTATAAGTGAAGTTACACCAGAGATATAATCAGATTACACAGAATCGTTGTTGTTACCGTTATTAAAGTTTCAATTATTCTGCAAAAGTCTGTTCAAGTATTTTGTTTAAAATAATTCGAGGAACTTTTTTTCTCAGCGAATTGTTTATTTTGGTTTACATGGCTATGGAAAACATGTATCACTACGCACGATCTATACGTAAGATTTCGACAAGTTGCTGATGTTAATGTTTAATGCAATTATTCCTTAATTTGGAAGCAAAAATGTGAAAATGATAAATAGAATTCATCACTCGTGTTTTTTAATATGGGAAATATCAACCTCGTCCCGTTAATTGGTATTTGCCTCGCCAAAGGCTCGTCAAATACCGATTAACGAAGACTCGGTTGATATTTCCCATTTTAAAAAACACTCGTGATGAATCCTCTATTTATAGGACAAGTAGCCTGTCTATCATATGTTAGTATTTGCTTATGTATATAATGTAGAAATATGTTTACTTTAACTGGATAATTTGTATGCTAATGTGACTCACTGTCTTATTTCATATACTCCCTTTACTCTATGAGAATGATTAATAGCCTCAACATATTTTTCCAGATGTGAAGAATCAAGAACAGCTTTAATGACAGCGAAGTTTTGCATCAGAGATCATCGTGAAGTGGAAGATAAGACATTTTGAGGGTATGAACATTTTCACTTGAACTAGTTGAACAATAACCATGATGACAACTTTATCATGGGGGAATTTTTGGTGGTGGGGTAGTCTAGTGGTTGAAGCGTTCACTCTTCGTGCTGAAGACCCAGGTTTGATTCCTGCCACATAGCTGCGATATTGCTGAGTGTGGCGTTAAACATCAAACAAAGCTAACAGCCGCATACTTACTCACGTGGGGATTCCAGGTTGAAGTTGGTCCCCATCAACATGATCAACCTATGCTAGTTGTAAGAGATAACTTAATGGATCGGGTGATCAGGCTCGATGACTTGGTTGATCCATGTCATTGTATCCCAATTGTGTGGATCGATGCTCATGATGTCAATCACTGGATAGTCTGGTCCAGACTTGATTATTCACAGACCACCGTCATATAGCTGGAATATGGCTGAGTGCAGAGTTAAACAACAAACACCAACATGATTCTACAACCTGCTCTTGTAGATACCATTTTGAGGATCCTACACATAACTTCTTTTCAGGTCTTAACTATTGCAATATGTTCTACTACATGTGTTTTAAACAAACAAAAATTCATAGTGAACTTGATTTGCAATCAAGCCGATGGCTTATCTAAATGATGCTCAAATACAAAATAAGTATTAATATTAATACTAATTCTATACTATTGCAAACTATCAGTTGAGCAATAATGTAATCATCTGATTATAAGTAGATAATGAAGGAGAAGTCCATATTGATTAAATCTACCAGATTCTGAGATAAATGCACGTATTGATTGATTTATTTCAATGTTTTCCTGTACATCATTTTCAACAATTCCCTATAAAGCTTTCTTATTTCATATCCATGCTGTATAATAATACCTATTATTTCTAATAATAGCATAATTTGGACACACAAATAAGTAATGAATGGTATTTTTATAACAGGTGCCACACATGCGGGATAGGTCATTTCACATGAATCAGTTTTATGCTGAGTGTGCAGTATATGAATGAGTTGTTTTGTTTGTATATTAGCATCATCATAGTTTCAACAGACAGTTTATGTATATCAAATGTTAAATGTCTTTGTAGGGAGAATTGCATATCAAATCTGTCATTATTTTATAACTGATGAGTAGAACTTTTTAAGTATCTGGCATGATACATTTCCTTGGTCCACAGAAACATGTTACCAGTAAACTGACTTGATAAGTAGCATAGCAGTCAGTATGGTTGGAAACTAACTAAGCCGTCAGTACTCAATTAAGTAATTAACAGACAATTGCTAGTGATTATACCCACCTGACACTAATTGCCCTGTTAATCCCTAATCCACCATGAGTTGACATTGCTAATGAGCTGTTGTGAGCGTAACGAGATGATAAACATCAAAGGTGGGGCAGGCTTTGATCATGTGTTCTGTAGAAGAGATTATGTCACTTGTTTAATGTTTATTTAGGATTAGCTACATCCCTTGATGCTACCAAGACCATACTTGAGATTATCAGTTTGTCTGGATACAACCTGATGTCTCAACTGTACTTATTGGATTCTGCCTTGTAGCAAACTATGTGTGTGACAAGGACTTTGACCACTCTGTGCAGATGCATAACAATGCATAATGAACTTGGGGTATGATTCAATTATGTCACACAAGTCAAAGATGGGTTCCACTGTATTTAGAAACAGACGATAGATGCAATACTGTGTAACTTTATAACAATCAAATGAGTATTCAAATAGGAATACACATATATTTACAATTACCCTTGAAAAGTTCCAAAACCAAATAGAACTACATGTACTTAAATTATGATTACACTTGACCAATATATTTGGCAGTTTTCCCGTTATTGTTAATCTTAATTAAAGATAGGATAAATGATAAAAATATGATAATGATTTTACTCATTATTAATCATGGGCGGATACAGCTTTTTTGAAAAGGCGGGGGCGGGTGCACAATTAAGATCTATTTATTGTCTTTGGTGGTAATTTATACAGAAATAAAAAGGGGTGTGTGCACCTCCACCTCTGTATCCGCCCATACTATTGCCAGTAGCCGAATTAAGGTCCCTTAAATGTAATATACATAGTTTTTAGTCCATTGTTCAGGTGGTTCTTTTCAGTTGATTTTTTGTATCAGTGTCTATTTTGGCCTACCAATTAATGGTAGATATTAAATATCAATAATAAGTGAGATAATTATTTTCAATGTGGCTCCCATTGCAACTAAAGCAAGGAACGATTAAAATTAAGCCTGATTCAGCTGCTACATTGAAATGTATTTGCTCCTCTAATCTGTAATTCAATCAGTTGTATAGTGACTTGATATTTGGCGAAAATATCTGTTGTATGAAATCCTAATGTTACTTACTTTTGTATTTGAGATGATATTTGTATTTGGTAGCCTAGTGGGTAATGCGTTCTCCGAAGCACTGGGTTCTGTTCCCCACATGGGTACTGTGTGAAAAGCCAATTTCTGGTGTCCCCGCAGATATAATGCTGGAATATTGCTAAAAGCTGTGTGAAACTATACTAACTTGCTCACTCATTATATAGTATTTTGAGATCACTTACATGACTTGTGTGATTGAAAGTTTTGATAATTATGAATACCATATTCGACGTAATAAGTGCCCAGGGCGCTCTCAAAATTTCGTGGTTTATGCTAGCAGCCTGAAATGTTTATGTACGACAAATATATTTTTCCATAATTTAATTCCCCATACTTAAGGGTGCATATCACACGCGAGTATGTATTATACGCAAATAAATAAGTCTCGTATACATTGATCAATTGGAAAGGGTGCTAATTGGGATTGTTCACTAGCCAATATA